ATATTTTATATAATAATTCATTGTTTACACATGCTTACACATTCATAAGTATAACAAAGTATATTACATTTTGTTGTTAATCATAATAATTATACTTATATAACAATATTTTACGTACGTGCTTCGACGTGTAATACATGATAATAATTATGTATGTATGTATAAATCAAATTTATAAAACAAAAATTAACTTATAAAAAGATTATCAAAATTTTTTGATTTTTTTCACTACTCTACTCATTTTACTAAATTATTGAATTTGTAATACATTTACCTAATGTTATGCATATAGTCATACATACATATGTATGTGTGTATTCCTTTATATAAGCTTAATATACGTAATTATGTATTCATAAATGCAAATTAATATACATAATATGTATGGCAAAGTAAAGTAAGAAAAGGTTAAAAGCAATAGAAATTAAAATAAGTTACCAATTTTATGGTTTTCTAAATTTTTCTATTCACACTCTAATATAGAAATCGAAAGTTGTTATACACTTCTTATACATACTTATGTATGTACATAGGTACATACTTAAATAAATAAATAAAGTTAAAAATTTTTTTGATAGGTAGGCAATTATTATTAGACTTTCTTGACATATTGTCACATTAACAAATCTAGGTTTAAGTCTACGCTAGATTTAATTAAAAATGTTCTACATTGTTAATAAAAATTACGAGTACTCGTATATTGAAGAACAAAATTATAACAGAAAACACCTACTTACATTTATGAAAACATAAGTATATTTTTGACATATTTATGAAATAAGTATATGTGTGTATGGGTCAGACTTAAAAAAATTCGTTTATCTTTTCCCTAAAATCGGTGCCTTTTCAATTTTTTGCCCTACTATTTTTTATTTATTATAAAAACATAAAAGATAGGTTAATAAATTTATAGAGGAATAAAACGAGGAAAAAAAAATTAAAACCATTTTTTTTCTCTCATTTTGGCTTTATTTCAACCAGACAAGACATTTTTTTTTTCATTTTAATTTTTTTATTTTATTGTTGTATTCACTGTTGCCGTCACGTTGCTTATAACCTATCCGTTAATAAATATAAGTATATGATTTTGCGTTAAATATCACTTTATGGCAATATACATTTGTACATGCATATAAGTATGTATGTATATACGCATGCATGGGTATATGTACATTCATTTCCATATTGTATTTGATTTTGCCTTTAAAATTTAATTTTGATATTAAGTAGGTAGGTAGGTAGGTAAGCAAAGAGTCACACATAAACTTTCACATACATATTTAACTGCATTTTATATTATTATTGTGCTTCCTATATTTTCTCTATCTTTTTCTATCTCTAAATTTTTATATAATACGCAGATACTTACATATGTATATTATGTAGTATTGTAGTGTGGCAGAAAAAAAACACATACACAAGCATAAAATTAAAAATGAAAACAAAAAAATCAAAAACATATTTTTTTGGTTTCTATTCTTTTCTTTTATTCTTCTTATATTGTTTAGTGTATACTCTAGCTTTATCTTTCACACAAAAACAAAACAAATAAGAAAAATTACTATTGTACAGAGATCAATGTAGATAGAATTAACCCTAATGTTACCATAAATTTTATGTAGTTTTACAAAATTCTGTTTTAATACTAAATTTTACGCTAAACTCAACTAAAAACTTGTCTAATAAAATTTAAATTGAGTTGAAAGAGAGAAAAAATCAGGAAATTTTACAGTATTTTTTTTCTTATTACTATACTATTGCTCCCCTATACTCTTTGTATTAATGTATTTGCAAAAATTATAGTACGTACTTGTTATTCTGACTAAATTTCTACCTCAACAAACAACATATTAAGTTGTGTTTGTTTTTTTATTTTCTTATTTTTTGTTTTTATGTTGTCTACACTTTTGTTTTCAATTCTGTCATACACAACATTTATATGCGTTAATAAACTGTATACACAACTACAAAAATGTACACTAACACCATCTAGTTGGTGAATGTATGAGATTTCATTGTAAGATGCTTTTGTTTAATTATGTTTTTTTTTTGTTAATTCTTTTCTTGTTTTGTTTTTGATTTTGGTATTTATCTCTTGTCAAGTTCAAGAAAAAATTGTGAAAAATTGAATGTGTGTATCTTCTTAGAATATAAGTATGTACATATTTATAGAGACTTGTACACATGATATGCAATAAAAAATATACACAAAAATTTTTTTAGAAATATATGCAAACAAAATGTGTTTACTTAAATAGCACACACTGGTGTTTTATTTTTTTTTTAAGATAGAGAGGAAAAAATGGCTGTAAAATGTAGAATTTCAAGAAAACGAAAAAGAATGATTGAAAAATGAGAAGGAAAGTGAACATGTTTTGCAGTAAGAAGAATAAGTGACAGTAGAATATGGGCCTATGTCAAAATTATTTTTGTTAAACCAAATAAAAAATTGTCTACCTACATATACTATGTAATAATAAATATTTACATATGTATGTGTGTTTACAATATTACAATTTACAAGAATTTACAGTGATTTAAGTCTCGGAAAGTAAAATTAATTTTTAAGAAACACATACTTATAAGGAAATAATTTAAAATCTTAAGAATTATGTACGTTAACACGCTTAAAAATTTTATGAAGTTGATATTTTTGAAAGTGTATGAATAATATTATTCCGAAAAGAAAATTAATTTAACGTAAGGTATGACAATGTGCATGTGACATAAATTGACAGATACAAAGCTGCCTCAACAATTATGTATTTATTAAAATCAATTTGTAAACTAATATAAACTACCTTATGATTTGAAAAATTTTTTAATGACTTAAAAAGATATTTTTGAAGTTAATATTTCAGCTTATTCAAAACGGAGAACGGAAAACAAAATAATTTTATTTTTGACAATTACTTGTAAAAATACTATTTTGACTTTAAATATGACAATTTTCGTAATGAGTATTTATGAGTATATTAGTTGGTGTTGTCATTTAGTTGCATTGGCGCATATCATATTAAATAAGTATTCAAAATAAAAAAAATACGTGTGTGTACATACAATAAGAATTCCCAACTATTTTTTTTTCAATTAATAATTAATTAAGTATTTACTTTATTTTTTTATGTTTGAAGATCAGAACAGTCACCTTATTTTAATTGGTGACAATCATCTGATGAAATATAACTTTTACTCGATAATCATATATGAAAAATTGCATATTTCTGGGCATTATTAGTTTCCTTTGGAAAATTCCATTACAAGAATACATAATTGGAAATTTATTATTTAATAAAATGCGCTAATGTACGTTACGTGTTGTGACTGCAAAATATCGAAAATAATTATTGTAATTCCATTTTCAAAATCATCTTGTCAAAATCAAAACAAAATTTTTTAAACTATCTTAATGAAGCGTTTTACATTCTTATGTGTATACGTATGTAGTAAAATTATAATTATGAATTTTTCTTATACTTTTGCATGAAAAGTAAAATTATCATTGCATATTTATTATTTACCTACATATACATATGTCTATATGACACATTGTTCTATTTCATTCTATCTCCAACTTAAATTTCTATCTCTTAATAATACATGTTTTTTTTATACACGAACATGTCACACACATTCATATAATGTGAATGTATTTTGTCTTGAATGATCTTTTTGTTCCAATCCAACTCTCATACACATTTCAAATTTTATAGGTTATGTTGTGATCGAATTCTTAATACTTTTTACTTGTTCTTTTTTTGCTATCATGAAAAATAGACAAGTTTATCATTTTTATAATTTTAAAATTTATACTATTTAGAAATTAGAACTTAGAATTTTTTTTATTGTGTAAGTAAATTATTAATTGAAGTGGGTATGTAGAAAAAAGAAAAATAAAGAGAAGAATGAAAAAAAAATGATATAGAAATTTAAATTGCACGCGATAGAACGAATAAATTATTAAAAAAAAAAAATAGGAGAAAGAAAATGAAATACAATATGTAAAAAAATAGAAAGAGAAATGGGCGCGAATGAAAGCGAAAATGCAGATTATTTTTTGTTCTTTTCATTAGAAAAAAATATGTGTATGTGGGGTAAATGCGAAATTAGATATTTATTTCAAGCGCAATACTTTTTCTATGTTTATAGGTTAAATTGATAACAGTAAAACTTGGATAAGTGCTACTTTATTTTTTTTTTGTTTTTCATTTTTATAAGTGAATAAACATGTGTTTGTTTTGTTAAGGTAAATATTTTTTTCTAATAATCTGAAATAACTTAGTGTTTTTAACGTTCGTGTCGCTAACGTAACCGAACATGTGTCAACGTATTAGAAGCGTCATTTAAATTCGTAAATTTTAATGTGCAATTTAATGATGCTTTTTTTATAGTATTTATAAATGAATGTGTACATATGTATGTATACGTATTTATATTCAATCATACGCATATTTTTTAAGGAATAAAATAAATCCGAAAGAATACACGAAAACTGACAGATGTCAAATAATTTTTTTTGTAATCTTTTATAAGAGTAAAAATAAAATTAAAATTAACATTCAAAAATTCTTATTTTACTTAATTGTCATGCATAAACAAAATTCTATTAATTTATTATTAGAAAATTTAAAATTTTCATTTGAAACTAAAAATTTTAAAATATAATCCAATGATCTATTAACATCAATTTGTAATAAATATTTATTTTTTCCTTTATTTTCAGATCTTTGAACTTATATTGAAAATCAAAGCATATTTTTTGAAAATGTATTTAGCTACTACGCCTTTTTAAACAAAAAAATGTTTCTTAACTAAAGAAAACTTACAAGTCCATCTACGAGTGCTTTACCGTAGGCAACCTTTACTTTTAACATAAAAAGAGAATTCGTTAAAAATAACGAAATCATATTTTAAATTGAAGAAAAAATATTTTATCATAAATTGATTGAACAATTATTCCATTTTAAAATAATAATTAAGAAAAAAAAATAACAAATAAAATGCAAACCAATTATTTATCATCAATGGCAGCAACATCATCAACAACACCAAGTACTTCAATACTTAATCAAAATAATCAACTTGTAAATCTAACAAATTCAATAACATCATCACCATCACTACATAATCTTCATCATTCTTCACATTTACAACAACAACATCATGAAACTGTATCAACAACAACATCAACTTCAACATCAACATTGGGTCTAGAACCATCAATTAATATTATACCAATAAATACTCCATTACCATCGGTATCAACTATACAACCAAATAATAATGCCAATACTTTAATATTAAGTGCTGTTAACACTACACCAAATACATCACCGAATACAGGATATTTCCAAAATCATTCAAATCATAGAACAACAACAAGTATCAATAATAGTAATGGAAGAATAATAACATTAACAACTAATGACAATAATAGTTGTGAAATAGTTCCTTTAATTGTCCATCAACATGATGATCAAAATAATCGTCGTTCAATAGCAACTTCAACATTAAATAATAATACAACAATAATATTTCAACAAAAAAATGATGATAGAAATATTCACCAACAACAACAATTGCAACAAATTCAATCAAATCATTCTCAAAATTTATTAAATGATAATGGTAATGCACTTGTAGATTCATCAACATCAGTATTGGAAAATAATTTAATGTCATCACCAACACATTCTACGCAATCGACATCAAGAAATTCAACAACATGCAATTCAAATAATAATATAAAAATATTAGAATTAGATAATGATACTCTTTCATCAATATTGATACGTCGAGCTACAATAGAGCATTTTCAATTACAACAACAAGATAATCATCAAAATCAGCAACAACAACAACATCAATTTACAACAATGCAATCATTAAATGAGTCAAATAATATTATAAGAATTACCACTGCTTGTAACACCGATGATACAGATATTACTGGAATTAATTCAAATTTAAATAATAATAACAGTAATAATAATAGTAATAATAATAGTAACAACAATACTAACAAACCAAATAGTAATGATTTATTATGTAATAGTGATATTATGAGTGCTACTAGTATTAATAATAGTAATAATAATAATAATAATAATAACAGTAATAATAACAATAATGCAAATAGTAATAATCAACAACAACATAATGTTAATCAACAAATAACTGTTGATAAAAATTGTGCTAATTCAAATAATAATAGTAATAATAATAGTAATTTGAGTTTATGTGATAGTTTTACAAATATAACTGATTTAAGTAATCAAAATAATTCAACAATTCCAATTAGTTCCTCTACAATAACTATTCATAATATTATTCAACAACAACAACAAGAGCAACAACATCAGCAACAAAATATAATTGAAACAAATATTATTTCACCTACATTACAAAATCAACAACAACAGCAACCTACAATGGTAACAAAATCCACGAATGTTGATATGTCATCAATTATTGAAACATCAAGTAGTTCAAAATTATTACGAAATGATCCTTCATCTTCATCAATTTCAACAATTAATCAAAATTGTAATGATAACAGTTTAATTAGATCAATGAGTTCAGCTGATTCATTATCTTCGGATAGTCCATTGGATGATTTTGAAAAACATATGGAAGAACTAGATGGTAAGTCAATTATTTTTTTAATAATTTTTTTAATATTTTATTGGATTTGTTGGAATAAATCTACACATATATTTTAAAACATATTTAAATAAATTTTAATATTAAATAAAATATTCTAAAAATTAAGAAAGATTGTTGTTGTTGTCTGCGAATTTGTCAAGTGTGTTATTAAACGCACATTTGGGCAGTTTACATGCAGAAACAAAATGGAGTTCAAACTAAATGGTGAATATGTTAAGCTGAAATTAACGAAAATTTAAAAATATGATTTTAAAAAATATAAGAATGGGCAATAAATAATAATTGTGAAAATTAGTTTATAATTGAAAAAAAAATTTAATTGAAATAAAAATTAAATCGAATTAAACAATATAACCAAAAATAATATAATTAAATTAATATTTAATAAAATTTATGAACTATAACATTGATAAGTTCTCAAAAAATATTAAGAATACAAAAAATGTACAAAATATCATGTATAGTGACTCTAAATGTAAAAAGCAATTATCTAGATGCAAATTATTCTAGATTCCTATACGCATAACTCCATATAGCAAATTTTTAAAAATAAATGTAAGAGTAGCTTTTTAGAATTAATTTAAAGAATTGTAATTGTAAGAGCGACAGATTGCTCTAGTTTAAGTAAGATATTGAAATTCTCCATTATTCTGAATTAAAACAAAATTGAAGACCTAATTAAATGAAGGCCCTGATAATTACAATTTTTGAAAAAAAATTATAAGAAAAAAATAATTTCTTTTTTGTTATTTGAACTGCAATTTACCAGGCACCTTAACCAGGAATGCATTTTTTAATTTATTAAACATGAAATTTCTTCTTTTGTATGAAATTCTCAATTTCAACTATTTTACAATTGTGCTTGTTGTCATCTTAAAAAACTCTGTCTCATTTAAATATCTTTTATAATTTTGTTTTTCTTAATGTTTTTATTTTCGACAAATCACAATTAATTGCAAATTTCATCATTTCGGCTGTTAATGTTCCAAAAAGGCTAAACTAAATTCATGACCGTGTGTTTAAAAAATTTTCTTTTACATGCTTGTATATACAAATACATAGTTTTATGGTTTTACCAACAGATGGAACATTAAATTTACTAACAGACATACTGCTTTTTATGTGTTATCTAATATTCCAAACCAGAGTCCGTTCATACATATCTACATATTATGGCAACGTTCAAAATGTAGCGTTATTTTTGATTTATGATATAAGCTTTTGTGTTTAGAAACGTTTTGAACCGAGTAGCCTTAGCAGCTGGTGCTTTATTGTATTGATTGCAATTTTTATTTTGTAATTAATGTTTCCAAATATATATGTACATGTGTCCCCATTGTTGAATTGATCACATTTTAAAATAAGTAAGTTGTTATGGTTTTCTTTGCCAAAAATCTGTTGGTTACCTAAAAATAGAGTCCAGCAAAACAATAATAACCAATCACTACAAGTTTGTTTTTATTTGCTTTTTCATTTACCTATCGAAAAAAGGAACTTTCGGTAAACCATATTGTGATTTGTGAACAGTTTTGCTTCTCCTTTTTTTTATCACTTTTTGTTTTGAATTCAGTTATCCGGTCCAACAATATTGTGATGGTGATCCCTTCCTTTCCATAATATTAATGTTCATAACATACTTTTATATGAATGTATGTATGTATACCTACATGTTATACCTAAAATAAAAAATTCTTTGGCAAAATTTATGCTTTTAACCCCATTTAAAATTTTCTTAAATTATAGGGTTCCCTTTTTTCCTATTTAATTTTTTTTTTTAAATTTTAAAATCTAAAATTCCAGAAAATTTTTATATATACCTGTACACATGCATACCTATTTTAAATTTGTATACATATGTACATACATATATATATATATAAATAAACTTACGATATGTTTATGTTCCTATGTCGTTTTACAAACACACCAACTTACAATATTTAAAGCATAAAACATGGAAAAAATAAAAGACAAAATAAAATTTTTATAAAGCAAAATTGAAGAAAAAAAATTGAAGAAATTTTTTTTATCTCCGTTTACCTCTTTTATTTCCACGAAAAAATTATGCAACCTAACACTTTCAATGTTAAATAAAAGCGAAAGAAAACAAAATAAATAAACAAAACAAAAAAAAATAATACAAAAAAAAAACCCATAAAATATTAAAAACAAAAATCGAATAAGAAAACAAAAGAAAAAACAAAAATCACAAATATTTAACGGTAAAATTTAAGATTTAGTACACAAACGTGTAAATTCTATATATTAACATTTAACAACCAGGTAAAAATGTGTGTCTGTTTATACACAAGTATGTATGTCAGGATGTACATATGTATATGAAATTCACTTCTTTTGCTTTTCGATCTCACCATAAGTATAACCATTAAATACACCATATGGAATAATTTTATTTAAAAAAAAATTAACTTTATAAATTTATTGTTGAATACACGCTTATATGTACATACACATGTGGGCATACACAAATTGTATACACACATTTGTATGTACATATGGTAACAATAATAATGGAGCTCGTTTACATGCTCCTTTTTTTTCTAAAATTTATACATACTTACAATATTATAATAATACCTTGCGTATGTTTGTATATGTACATAATTCTGAGAAAAAAGGCAATGGCTTTGCCTGCGACAGTGACTGACTTACTTGACTACAAATAAACATACATATGTACATATACACGGTACATATTTAATTTTTATATTAAAGAAAAAAGCAAAACGAAACAAAAAAAAATCAACAACAAAAAAAGAACCAACAATGAATTAAAAAAAAACACAAAAGCAAAGCATTATAAAAGAGGACCACAAACACTCACACACACAAGCTAGACTGACCAGTTTTTAATTTTATTTTTCAATTTTAGGAATTAAATAGACTTTTTTTTTTGTTCTCTGTTTCTTTTTTTTAATTTGTTTTTCTTGGTTTTCATTTATTTAAAATAAAAAATTTTCTCATATTTTTACAAGATTTGTACGAAAACTTGAATTTTTGTTTTATAAAGAATTTAACACAATTGCGGATAAATGGCTTATTATGGAGCACTGTATATACATACATACATAAATACTTATGTACAAAAGTAAAACTTGAAAATATTTTTACTTTCATTGCGATCTAAACTGATCTGAACGGATAATGAATCAAAATACTGAATTAAATTTGTAAAATGTAGAAAAACCAAAAGTGTGTCTTCTTATAAGCAAATTTATCATTTTGATTTCTAGAATTTTCTTCATTCAAATAATGTGTACGTGCACATGAGAATTTTTAATATAGATGCGATAACTGGGAAGAGAATGAATTGTAGCCATGTATGTACATACTTATATACATATGTATGTAGGTATAAACAGTCGGATCCGTTTATAAGCACATAGAAAATTATATGATTTTCATTTGCTTATACAATGAATCAGGTTTTTCTTACAAAAACGAGTTCAGTTGCTAGCACAAACCTTGCTTCTAGGCGAGTTTTCTACTCTTATACGTAACATGACAAAGAAATATGTAACTATGTATACAAAAGTGCCTGGTGACAAATTTTTTCCTATATACATTTGCCAAACCTTATAGAAAATGATCTTACTCTATTTAAACTAAAAATAAAAAATGTGTTGCTCCGTTTGTGTTCAAAATAACCAAAAATTTGGTTAACTAGCTATTTGCTTTATAGGCTATTTATTTTCTTGCAATATAAATTTGAAATTGTACACAGATTTCAGCCATAAAGCAAACCTTAAAGCAAAAAATTATTAAAGTAAAATGAAAGTGACGAATTTTCTAAACATAAACTTTTAATTTAATAAAACAAAAATAATGCAATTTACTAATTTTGAATAAAATATGAGAAGAAAGTGAAAAACTCGTTAAGGTTTTTTTTCCATTACATTCAAAATGAATTTTTTTTTAAAGTCATTTAATCTTATCTGGACAATATTAATAATATTGTCATCGAAATTATTGATCGATCAGCTTTTGATAAGTAATTATCATTTTTTTATTGAAAATAATAAGTGCGAGACTTTAAGTGGTTTATGTAAACATTGAACCCAAATTATACTAAATATGCATAATTTAAAATTAAAATTAATTTATTATAGAGTAAGTGTGCAATATACTCCATATCATATGTGTGCATACATGTATGTATATTCGAAAATAGTACATTCACAAGCTTAAATTTCTTATAAGTGATAAAGAGTTTAGTCCTTTTAATGAAAAAATGAGTAATGCAAATATGGATTTATGTACAAGACAACTAAATAAGTAATGGTAATAAATTAACGGTATTTTACCACTTTATAATAATTACCATTGTACACTTACATAGTCTTTGATCGAAAAAATTCCAAGAAACAACTGACTTCTTAAATATACTATTTTAATAATTCAATTGATTTAAAAAATATCAGATAATAATATTGATGCGGTCAGAACCGGATTTACTTATTCAGGAGCACTAAACTAACGGGCTTCCTGAATAATGAAGAAAATATTTAACATTGATTATAATATGTGCAAAATATTATTTTGGTTTAATTAAGAAAAGGCATAATATACTCGTCTTCACGTTTAAAAATGTGCTGGTCAATTTACTTCCTTCAAATTTTATTAAGAAG